AGGAGTGGGACCCGAAGGCCAGAGAAGGGCAAGCGGCTAACCCGTGTCACCCAGTCAGGAAATGACAGGCCCAGGCCTGGAAAGACCAAGCCAAGCATGGTAGGCATCCACAGGAGAGACTGTCCAACCCTACCCTGCAGTGCATAAATGAGAAAACTGAGGCTCAGAGAGTGGAGGTCACTTGCCTAAGGTCACACAGCATGCAAGGGAGAGGTGGAGGATTTGACTCCAAATGAAGGATACTTTTTACTGAACCAAGCTGGGTTTTTTCACTTGGCTCTATGGAGGGTTGGGGTCCCAGAGTCTTGGGGCTGGGGAGGGGGTGGGGCAGGTAGAGCAGTATTGGCTTTTATGAGGCTACCCTGAAGAAGGTCCAGGCTTTCCTCAAAAAAAGGGATGGATAGGATTGGGGGCCGTTCCACACTACACACTCATGGAACCCATAATACGCCCCTGCCTTGTCAAGTGGGCCAAACTTGAGGCCTCTGTCCTGCCAGCTAGCCACTTGGAGGGGTCTTGGCTCCTGGCAGAGGGGGAAGGACACCTGAGGCTAGAAATGCCCCTGGGATAGGGCATGAGCCTGGAATCTGAGGGCCATTCTGGGGAGCCCCGGTCACACGCCAAATAAGCACCAACCTCGTGCTTCCCCTTCTTGTCCCAAATCCTGCACTGTCCAGGCATCTGTGACCTAACTACAACCGTGGCTGCCAGGCCCACCAGATGGACCCTGCCTGGCCTGAGCCAGCTTGCCTGGCACAAATTCTTTGGAGAAGGAAGGGCAGGTTCTGGGCACTGTCCCCCTCCCTGACAGGAGCTTAGACTCAGGCCCCTCTGAGGAGCTGCCCCCTTGGGGAGCTGGGTCAGGGGAGAGCCCAAGGTCATACAGCTAGGCGGTGGGAGAGCCAGACCCCTTGGGACACTGGTACCAGGTGCTGCCCATCCCTGGAAACTTCATGCTCTGGGGCCACCGACAGAAAAGACCCTGTAGTCATCATGGACAAATTCAGAGCCTGTCCCAGGCAGGAAGAGCAAGCTGGTTTGCTCCCCATCCTGCCTCCCACACAGCGGCCTTGTGGATGGTTCTCTAGCATGGGAGGGGAAGGAAAGGTCTGGGCAAACTGAGGAAGGTGGGGACTGGCCAGGCTGAAGGGATGTGGGTGGGAGAAGCCAGGGATCTTTGGCTTACCCCCTCCCCCAAGTTGTAAAGCCAGTTCCTTTCTCCCCCTGTGGTCTCCTCCCTTCCTTCCTGTCTCCGGCTCCCCCACACACACACACACACACATACACATACACATGCAGTGATGGGAGGGAGATGGAGCGGGAACACAATTAGGGCTATGGAGCTGGGCTGGCAACCCAGGCAGTCCAGTTCTAGGGAAAAGTGATGAGCTGGATCATTCTGAGCCAAGGCATGTGGGCCCCCAGTCCTTGAGAGGGATGGGGGGATGGGAAGAGGAGACAGTGTCTGAGCTGCTGAGGATCCAGGGCAGAATCCTCTGCCCAGAAGGTCACTGTCTCCCCCAGTCCACAATGGGCAGGGTACTCTCAGAGTCATGTTCCAGCTGCCCTTTGAGATAGTGACAGGGGCCACGAGATGCTTCCTCGGGCTCCGCCAGAGGCCTCTCTTACTGCAGCCCAGACCATGGCAAGAGCCCTGGCACTCCAAGGGCGAGCAGACTGGCCAGCCGTCCAGACTCAGGCATCTCCCCTTCTGGCCTGGGCCTTCACTTAGCTCTGACCCTCTGCCTCCGCTTAGCGCTCAGGGCTGGTGAACGGCCCATGAGGCTTCTGGCTCCCTCCTCCCTTCCTGGTCACCAGGAGTCATGGGTGAGATGACAGAATGTTCCGCTCACGCCTGCGCTGGCCACCCCCTGACCAGGCCAGAGCTGGGGGCTGCCGGGGGGTCACCAAGGCCAGCCTTGGGGTTCAGATATGATTCCTAACTCCCTGGACGAGCTGACACATCCCTTCCATTCTTTGCCAGAAAATCCTCTGCAGGTGGCCAACCAGCCTTGCTTGGGACAGGCAGCCCAGCCCTGGGTTGGAATCTTGCCACCAGTGCTTAGGGCTGTGGGACCACCTCTCTGAGGGCCCCTTTCTTCACATGCAAAGTGGAGGCCCTCAGACTCGAGGGACCACCAGGGCACCCAAGGGGCTGGGTTTGAAGGCCTCACGGCTCTGACAT